TGTTTCGGTTGATTTGTATGGGCTTCCAAACACGATTTTAATTGACAAACCGTGGATTAACTCATGTATTTTAAATACGATGTGGGATCCTAACAATTTCACTAAATTCATATATGATCCATCAACGCCAAGTATCAAGATGCAATTAATATGAAGACATGAAATGTCCATCGTGACTGGTATGTGCCAAACTTTTTTTTTCTGATCAATTTTTTTTTAATGGTATGTGCCAAACTTTTTGACCATCTATACTTATATCTATACTTATAAATGAGAAGTCGAAAATCCTACGTGGCGGCTCTAGAATGAGTTTAAGACTTGTTTTGCCTATATTACCTTTAATAAATCAATATAATTACATTTCCATACCATCCACGTTTTATTATATTGGGTTTTGTTAAAAAAATTTGTTCAGGCCCATATATATTGATATAAAACACTCATGAAACTCTAATGAAATCCAATAAATAAATCGATACTTAAAATTCAGCAGAAAAGAAAACTGCAGAACGATTATAGACCTAGGCTCCTGATGGCGACAGAGATTTCTGAATATGTGCTTTTCTTGGTTCTTCCTTTGAGTTTTTGATGAGAAACAATGTTTGGTTTATTTGGTGTAAAACGTTGATACGGATGATGATTTTGTTGTTGGTTTTGTTTTCTTGGGGTTTGTTTGATGTGAGATGTGTATTAACGAAGCTATGTGCAAAAAATTCTCTGATTGCGATTAGCGGTTTTCTCTATGGGTTATTTGGGAAATTTGGAGATGTGCGATGTCACTTTTGTTGGTATCATCATCATAAATAAAGTTTTAATGGAGAGGTATGATTATAACTTTGGTGGAACTGTCCCCCTTGATGTCTAAAGCTAATCATCATATAGCCATGKCCCGTGAGATCTAKATTTYGTTGATGTCAATTCAAAGATKTTTCTTCCGGAAGTATGACAGAAGAAGATGAGAGAATTATAAGAGTTTTGGTTTTGATTGAAACCTCAATGATTGAGATGCTAGAATTGTGTTATTTGAACCAAACGTTTCATACATGTTTCGACGGTGAGGGATTCATAAGATAGTCGTCTTATAATTGTGTTAGTTCATATATATAATCAKAATTATGTTAATTTATATAYGTATTATGTTATCAAACTCAGTAAGTATTTTGTTTGCATATTTAAATCACTATGTTTACACAACATTGTTTACAATTTAGGTGCATGTATTCGAAGGACCTCATAAAGCTTCTGGCAGCAACGGCGGTTGTGGCTTTCAACGCATGTTCTTTAAGTATGTGTTTGCGTACGAAAGTTAGTGCGTTTCTTTTAATAATTAGTTTGATTTGTGAAAGCTTTATTAAGTTTCTTCAAAGGGTATGTTATTTTTTGTACAATATGGCTTAAGGTCTCTTTTTATGATGAAATCTAGAATTTATCTAAATCATGATAGTTTTAAATTGGTATATTTCAGCTTCTATTACCAATTCTAATATTTTTCATGTATATTTGGTTTCTGATCTTATGATAACAACTACTCTTGGGAGCTTCGTTATGCTTCAAACTGAATGTTTATAATTCTTTTGTTTATGTTTTTGTTTGCGAGTATGTTACTAATTTTTTTCTTTTTTTGGTCAAATGTTACTAATTCTTTTGTTTAAGTTTTTGTGCATTTTTTTCATTTGGTTTGTTAGGTGAAGCCTCTGTTTTGTAAAGACACGGCTAGAATTACTTTGCAAAGAAGTAACTACATATTAGGGTTTTCAAATCTTTTAATGACTATTGTTGAAACAATTATTTATATCCATGAACTTTGTTTGTATGTCAGATTTGCTGCCTTTTATGCTCTTGCGGGAGATATGGTATTGTTAAATGTTAGCAGATTTTTAAGTTTTAGATATGTATAAACAAATTGTGGTCTTAATATAAGAAAGTTTCATTGAGCTGGAAAAAAACATTCCAATTTTAATCCAGTAGCATAGATTCACCATATCATTTTTTATTAGATTATGTTTCTTTTGTATGTTTGATTTGTTTAGCTAAATTGGTCGGAATTATTTTTTTTTAGTATGGTTGATTTTGTATGAGAGAATTCTACCTAACTACCCATAAAATATGGTAAGCTTTCTCTTTAGTTGTTGAATCAATAACATTCATTTGCGTATCGTTGTTCTTCGATCACTTATCAGATATGTGTATAAATGTAGTTTTACCATGGATGCATATCATAGAGTAACATTTGAACAGAGTTACCGGTGTTATCCGTCATGCATTCTTTGTTGTTAAGGTTTGATTTTAGTTATTTATTTTTGTATTTGTGAACTTGAGAATTTGTATGATATTAAGATATATGTTTTTCTTTTGACAAATTGAATTATAATTCATGTTCTTTTACTCCTCCTTTAATAGTCTCATATCAGAATGGTGACGAGGCGGAGTCTTTAATTTTACAAATAATGTGTCTTCTGTTCAAATTTTTGACATTTGGTTTCTTTAATATTAATTTTAGTTATAATGCCATCTCTAGATCATTTGGATATATTATCTTCGTTTGCTTTTATAATACCATTGTCTTCTTGGATTTTGTGTGATTGATTAATCAGAGCACTAACATCTGTCAYTGTGTCTAGCCTYTTTGCATATTAATTATCTAATGTTGTTTGAGTTTTCCAATGTTTCAACGAAATAGTATTTCTCACTGCGGATTCCTTGAGTCCGTTACAAAAGAAGGCATTATTCACATGCCCTACTTGGGGAAGAAGCACTTTTCAGTTTTATCACCAATAGAAATACTCAAGATCTTGTGACTTAAAAACTAAATT